GTCTTCACTGTGCTTTTGAGAAAAAGTCAGCTCCAATTCAATCACTGACTTAACAACACTATGCTTGGTGTGGTTATTAATTTTGTCTTCAAGGAAAGCATATCAACTCCAAAATGAGTAAGCTTTGTATTATTTGCGAAGGTGAGAAATAGAAACTTAATATGAATTTTTCATACACTGCAGAACATCCCACTCTATTTCCTGGTGCATGCCCTCTTCCAGAGGAACTCATAGCTACGTCAAGACTCAGCATCATTTGTCAAATGCTCCCTTTTCCCCTGGGTGCTCACACCAAGAAAATCTTTGCATTATGAGGCAACATACACTGAACATATTTTTTTAATTCCTCATAAAAGTGGGCCCAAAAGAGATAAATGTGGCTTATGTCACACTGATATACTAAGAAATAAAAGAGAAAAATACAAGGAGAGAGCAGGGAATGAGAGAGCAACAACACTAGGCATCCACTTTCTTTGCCACATTATGTAGTTAGAGACAGACTCTTGTATCAGGACAATGAAAGTACAATTAGGCAGGTAGCTACTTTGCAACAATTTATGGTCAGTGCCTGATACTTGATTTGAGGAGAAGATAAATTAAGGCTATTCAGTTGGGGTCAGGCATATATTGAAATCTGCAGTAATCAGTGATGCAAAACATAGAAGAGCAACAAAGAGCTTTACGTGTCCATAATTCCATGACCTCAAAATATGATGGAATTTTGTAACCTGAGAATCTCATATATCACTAATAAATTTACTTCCAATAGAACAGCAGTGTAAAAAAAGAATTCGAGGAAAAAATAGCAAAGTAAAACCTTTGTTTGATGGTTCCTTTGGTTACTAATCATTAAGATGCATACACTTTTAAGAACACAGGGTTGTGGTAGAGATCATAGATAAGACATAGAAGAAAGTACAGCCCCTGTCCTCAAAAAGCTTAATTCAGGAAAATTCTTATATGATAAAACCTAAGCAACTTTCTAAGGAATTTGATCCTGGCAACTATCTGGCCTTGGAAACCAATTTCTGGCCCTTGCAATGATCAAGGATTATCATTTGTATGTATGACACCAATCTGTTAATTCTTTTAGATGGAGGGCCAACCCCACCTAGGGCCAGCAGTATTTTGATGCTTAAAAATCACAGTAAAGTGCTCTACATAATGATCCTTTACAAGTGGCTAGATACACTAGTAGGCTACCAAGGACCGTATTTTGCCCCATTGATGGCATAAGCCACCAATGAGAATTTGGGAGCTTATTTGACTTGACTATCACCACTGCATCTTCCAGAAGCTCCATCTTTAACAGGAATGGCTCTTTAAGTATTAAAATGAGGGTTTAATGTACATTATAACTAATAGTACTTGAGATGAAAGTAAATGACCCACTACCCCCCTCCCAGGTACCAAGAGGGGTCAGATTTCCCATTTATCAGCAAGTCATCAGGGTAGGCCAGCATCTCAATCTCAGACTCTCTTCTGTGGCTACTTCTTGGCTAAGGGGAACACTTCAGAAATGAACCAGCTAAACAAACTTCCCAGCAGCACTTGACAGAGCTACACCTATTCTTCCCATTTCCAAAGCAGTGGAGAATTAATTACCAGTTCTATGGATCTATTGTAAGTATAATAGACTAAAGAGCTATCACAGACACATTTATTGTAAAAGCACAATCCCAAGAGTGTCTAGTAGAGGGCCAAAACGATTAACACAAATGCTTTGTCAGATCAAAGATAAAACCTGCACCGCCCAATTGAGGAATGAATTAGAACAGTGGGTTATCTTTCAAATTAACCAGGGCAGTTAGTGAGAAAAATTTCATGAAAGTGTAATTCTTAGCCTTTGTGAATCCACACAGCAGGCATTCTGCCAGCTGACAAGATGATGAAATTTTCATGCTTAAAAAAAGCCCTCTTCATTTCCCAATTTAGATTAGCTAGTGTTTCTCTCCCTTTTGTGTGTGTGTATGTGTGTCTATTTGCTCTTCTGGATTTAAGGGGGGGCATGTATGAGTTTTTCACTGTAAAATCAAGTGTTTCAAAAGCATCCCTAAATGTTTAGCGATATAGTCTTTAAGTTGCCTTTTTATTATTTTCAAAAAATACCAGTTCATTTTTAACTTTGTACAAAGGCACCAACAAGTGCCAGGGCATGAAATCAACTTTGAATTAAGGCTTTCTGTGCTACTTCAACTCTTTTAACACTTCATCAAGTCTCAGGATAAAGTAGAGTTGTCTTCCTCCTAAAGAAATTAATATATTACTTAAAATATCCTTGCTCAGTGCACTTTATATTTCTATGTATATCAAAATTTAAATGTCCTAGGAAATGAAAATTTGAGGGATACAATCATTGTTATACGTGAGAAAAAAAGCATGCTCTCTCCTGTAAAGGAGCCAATATTAAAACATTATAATGTGATATTGATTCTCAGATATATAAACTTAAAAAGCTTGTTACATCACATTTATTCAGTCCATGCTATTTATTCATGACAAAAAATAACAGACTATATGATGCATTTTTCCAAAATTAAAATGATTTATAAGTATATATTATGTCACCCCAAACTTTTATCCCTTTTTTCTTGACAACTTAATTTCTTAGTGTTCTAGAACTATGTTCCTTGGTAGGTTATAGTGTTTGGTTGGGTACCATATTCCACTCATCTTCCTAAAGTTCCTTCCTTACGGAGATGGCTTTCTCAGTGCAGGCTGACTTCCCCTGCAGTGATTCTAAGATAGATAGATAGATAGATTAGATAGATAGATTAGATAGATAGATAGATAGATAGATAGATAGATAGATAGATAGATAGATAGATAAAAAAAATTGAGACTCCTGTCTTCAGTTTACAAACAACTTTTATGTCCAGTGGGTAGTATTTTTAAGTTACTAAACAGGAGAAAACCGTTTTGGTAATTAGCTTCAGAGAACAGTCACTTAACCTTAGTACTTACTATCAATATCCTTGCCTCCAGTACACTTGGTGTGTTAGTCTGCAGTTGAATTATCACTGAGATGATAATCACATTGAACTGTAATCAGTATCACTGAAGACACAATAACAAAAGAAAAAATACCATGTTGTTCTAAGAGGAAACAGGACTCTGTACCAGTGAAGTAGAACCTAGAGGTGCCTGAGCTTTTTGTATAAAAGCTCTGATCTTGAAAATATCTGAAACATCTGTTCAGCAAGGGGCCAGGAAAAGAACAAATATGGATTTCTTTCTCTCTCATCCAATCACATATGATTAAGATCAGAAAGCAGAGAAATAAGTTCCTAATTTTGAGGACAGTCATATGAATCTTCAACCTCAGGAGAGACATTTGGCTATTTTGATTGGAAATTCCTTAGAAATGTCAATCAAGTTTTACAGTTTTCTACAGAAAAACTGTTACTGTTAGTGAGATAGCTGGAGGACAAGACAAAACAAATGTTCAGAAACCTTGTGTCAAATATCTGGATCCCTAAAAGTAGATTAATTAGCTGAAATAATACTTATATAACAACCACTACTACCACTATCACAACACGCAATTAGGTTAGAAATCAATCCTTCAGTTAGGGCATATTTCTAACCATACTGAAGATCATTTTTCTGTGTATTTTCAACTTAGTCAAAACAAACTTGCCTTATTCTTATAGTAGAGAATAGATGAGTTTCTTCTAGTATTAACATTTCCATGGTGAAGATTTTGATAGACTAAACATAGAGAGAAAACTCAGAATTTTTCCCAAGAGTCAAGAATTATACTCTGCTCAATGAGGCCTGTAAATGAGGAGCTGAATAGTTTTGATTTGGGCTCTTCATGCTAAATAAAGGCCTAACATTTCATGTGCTGAATGTTTCATCTACTGTGGAATGTGACCCTACAGATAATCTTTATTCCTATCCAACTGTTCATTAAGTGCAGCACAGGATTATTCACTAAAATGTTTCAGATTTTCTCAAAATGTAGTCATAATTATTATTTTTTAAAAATCTTCAGGCAAAATCACTCACTTTTTTGCAAATATAAATTATTCTATACCAGAATCATACTAGAACTCTTGTGTTTTCATTCTTCATATTAATATCTAGTAGTCACTTTTCACACAATGAGTTCTATTTTAAAGAAGAAAATGCTATGCTATATGTTAACTAACATATAGGAAGAAAGTATAGAATGATAGATACTGAGAAAAGTCATGGGTCATACCTAATATAACCTGAGTTGTTTTTTTTTTTTTTTTGAAATGCCTTGCCAATGTAGCTTCTTTAAAGAAGTTACAGTGAACTTCCAAGTACCAGAAAATTTGTTTAGATGACAAATGACATAATGAAACAATGAAACACTAAGAAAAATCAAAATTAAGAGGAAAAAACTCATTCATATGAAATATGTTAAACACAAAACAAACCAAAAACTTTGAACAAAAGCCTTCTTTCTAATGAAGACAAATCACTCACTGTTCTGGTATTTTTACTATCTATTTATGAAAATTAGACATTCTCTTAAAAATGCCATGCAAATTACATTTAAATTTAAAAGATGGTTATTTCCTCAGAAAACTAGGCTATGGAGTGGTTTAGATTGTCACAAAACCACAACATATTAGCTAGTGGGCAGTTTATTAAAATTATCACACAATTTTATGGCTCTACTTGCTGAAGATAGGTAATACTGATTTTTTTTCCTTACTCTATCCATTTAATTTAGTCTTATTTAGATAACAATAAACTAAAACATTTTCTGATTATTTTTTAAAAGCAAAAACTTCATTATTTAAAATATAACTCACTAATGAAAGAGATGTAATGCCTGAGAAAAAACTCAAATCAATTGTCATGCTAATATGTCAAAATTACATACTTTATCATATTTGTATTAATAGCATCTCACCAGAAATTTTCTCCAAAGTCTTTTAAAAATTGTACAGTTTCATAAAAAACAATGAAAGTACCAAACTTCAGTAAGTTGTATATGTAAGAATCTCATTACGAATACTTACATCATAGTACTTTTTAATAAAACGTCTAATGTCCATGATCAATTTGTTGCTCAATTGTACTATAAAGGTCAGAGGTGAAGCCTTACAATCGATGTTACTGCAACGATACAAACTGGGTTCCACATCGGTTGCCTACAGAAGTCAGGACAGACAAGTACACAAAAGGTTACTGTGAGGTTATAAAAGGTTTTTTGTACTTAAAAACGTGCACACTGTCCTGGTACAGAATATTCTAAATTCACTTTATTGGTGAGTTTTTAATCCTATTTTTTCAACTGCTTTCCTTCCAAAGACCCCTTTAGTCACACATACCTTCCACTCTACTGCCATCATCATGATGGAGAACAAAGTCAAAGGGAACATCCTGAATTCACTATTTTATATTCATTACCTGAGAAAATCTATGGATAAAATAATTTTCCTCTGTAAATAACAGTGAAGTCATGCTACTGAAAATAAGCCTCCTTCTTAGAGAAGTTTATCAAAATTTTACATTTGTACGTATTCATCTCAAACTTGAAGAAAAGCAAGAGCCCTGACATTGCTTTCATCTTGTCAACTTAATTTTAATAAAGCCTAAAAATTAAGTGTTGTACCACAAAAGGATTATCGCTGTCTGCTTTGCAAATCTAAAATTTCTGAAATTTTTCCCCAAAATGAAATGTATTTAGGAGAGGAAAGCAGAGTAAAATTTTTAAAAATTAACTATTAGTAGTTGGAGAAAACATTTTGTTTGGTTGTGTTTTGTTTTAAGCAAAGACAAAGCAAATATATAGGAACATTGTTGAGGTTTGTTTTCCTTCTTGATACTTAAACATCTTGGTTTCCTGCTCCAATCTGGTACATAATCCTACCCGCCAAGCTAAGCAATTCCAGGTGGAAGAGATTTTAGAGCTTGACATCGGCTCTTCCACAGTTAGCCCATCTGCAAGTCGTCAAGTCTCCATGTAATTAACTATCTTATTTACAGCTGTAATGAAGCAAAACTCAAGGATTTAGCAAGTACTGCTGATCTGTGTCTGCCTCTTCCTTGCACTTGCTTCCAAAGACTGCTTTGTTTTGATTCAAAAAAATGTAAAACATCTGCTGTTTGTCCAAATTAACTTAAAATAATTACTTTTAATTTAGATAAAGGATGTCTTTTCTTTCAGTTTCAAGGTTTTACACAGTTCTGCTGCCTGCTCGTTTGCCAATGGCTAGTACATGCATAACACTGCAAAGAAATCAAGCAAACTGGCCAAGTTTCAAGTTCTGATCCAAGGTCAATGATACATTTTTTGGCAGTACTTCTTGAGAGGAATGTCTCCCTGTGACTTTTTAAATGTCTGATATGCAAAGACAGCAGAAAAGATAACAAGAGTACCTTTGTCAAAAAGGAGGTAAGTGGGATGTGTAAAGATAAACAGAAACTTTCCCAAAACACTTAGTTCCCATTAATTTGATTTAAGATAAAGAAAAATATTGCTCTAAGTCTTAAATGGGGGTTGGGAGTAGGGAAATATAGGTTACTAATTAAGGAATTACAATAAAAAAATAAGATAATTTAGAATTTTTAAGAGATTCCATTTAAAAACCAAGGTCAAGCATTCTTGGAAGTCAAAAACAATATTCAACCACATTCAGTAAGAGTTTTCAAGCAGAAACAAAGTAAATTGTGAAGGCAGAATTCATATGATGCTAAAATTCTTTAAGTACATGACAGTAACGTGTGTTTTTTACCTCCTCTTTATATATCCTATAGTGGAGGGAACAGAGGGAAAGCCTTTATACTAGTTCACAAACAAAATGGAAGAAGAAAACAAAAAGAAACAACTAACCGAACCATCAAACACATTATCATAAATATTCTCAGTTCCACACGTAGGACATGAACATTTGAATCTTTCACAGTCCCTGTATTTCTCTTCATCAGTGAGCTGTGCTGGGCCACCAAGTAGAGCATCATTCTCTTCATCTTTATGATAATGATGAACTCTAAATTGGGTGGGGTCAAGTCCTATTAATGTAAAAGAAAAAACAAATTCAGAAAAATATTCAAAAAATACCCCAAAGAAGAAAACTCATTAAAATTATTTTAAATTCATGCACACAAATATACAACCATTTGCATTCAACATCAGATGGACAAATGACTTCTCTTTTTACAATAAACTACTTTATAAATAAAACAAGTAATGGCAACAATGCAAAAATATGCCACCAGGCACTTGGGTTTGGAAGGAACTACTTCTATAAGATTGTTTTTATTATTTTCTTAAAGTTACAGTGAAAACCCTAAAATAAATGTGTAATGTTATGAAGAAATGCTCTTAAAATCAATGTGTCACCACCATTAACATAGAGAATAAAAATCTCATTAGAGAAAACAGGTTCACTGCCATTACAACTCCTTCAAGTGCAGACACAGCTAACCCTGATTTCAATGCAGTGGTCGATTTCATCTTGGCTCAGTAGTTAACAGCATGAAGGTTGCAATCTAATTCAGTGGTTAAAATTCAGTAGCAGCATCTGAGACAAAACGCAACATGGTTGTTTCGGTGTTCAAATTTCTGAAATTTAAAATATGTGCAAAACAATGGATCTACAAATTCTATAGGCCCGAATGTCCCCTACAAACCTGAAACCAAATATGCCATCCATATTTCAGTTGAAACAACAAAGAATATCAATCAATGCATAGTTGATGCTTTTTGTTTCCACAAACTAATTAAAGAAAAGGAACATTTTTAAGCTAACCAATTCAATCCTTGCTCAAAACGTATCCATCAAAATTTACTGTCTGAAGTTACACTTAAAGATAATTATTCCACACTATATAACAAAATACTTTCTTGAAAGCATCCCTTTGCAATCCCTAAAATTCTAAACTTTTGGAAATCTAAGGAAAGCTATCACATTTACTTTAGTATTAATATAAAGGTAAATAAGTAATATAAAACAGTTACTGAGCAAGAAGCTCACAAGTACCAAACATCTAAAAATTGTCTTAAATCTAGCAGCAGTCGCATAAGTAAATGCACACAAGTAGATCTAACAGATGCACTCAAAATTCAGTGACAAAATCCTAAATCCTATTTGGTCAGTTGTCAAGTGACATCTAATCATTACAGAATACTTGAGGCAGACTCTTGCACAATAGAAAGGTGCCAAACAAAGAATAAGACAACTGAGACACAGAGCCTGTTTTCTCACCTGAAAAATGGAAGTAGCATCACTGACTATACCGTTTTCAAGTTTAAATCATATAATACAGGACAAACCAAGCTCAATGGTGCCTACTGCATAATAAGCACTCAATAGGTGTCATGCGAATGAAAAAAAGTGAAGGAACATCATTTAATCCTGACTATATTCACTCAAGATTATGCATTTAGAAAAACTGAGACACGTGCTCATGCTGTATTTATTTTTGTAGAAATTAAAGTATTTTCTAAAGTGATAGTAGATAATAAAAAAGAATATGCATTCAGGAAAATTTGATAAACTGTTCTTCATTAGTGACATAAATTACTTTAATATAGGTCACCTGGGCCTAAGATTCACTGCCTACATTTTTATTTTACAAGTTACCTAACTCCTAAGAGAAACAGCAAATTAGGTAAGTATGTGGGAATATATACTCTTTCATTTAAAGATAAGGAGGGTCACAGGAATCGAGTTAGAGAGATCACGCCCCTGAATGAGGCCATTTCTTCTATGTAGTAAAGGATAACTAATTCATTAAACTCTGGTTGTGAATCCAACTGTATTCACATAATGTCTTGCCTTATTTGCAATTATGAGAAAGTATCTTCACCTATTCTCTGATGGTGTGATTATTAATCTATCTACCAGGCTAATACTGATCAAAAAGTACAAAAAAAAAATGAGATTTTTCTAAAGGTAACCTTCTTTCATGTTCCAAAAATCAAGGGACAAAACAATTCCAGTTTGCAAAAATACAAAATTGGCCAGGCTGTGAAAAAGAACCAAGAAGAGCTGCTCTCTACCCCTCCCCACTAGTCATGGCTCACTTGGCACACCTAAGTACATGAAGCTGCAAGCACTGGCTAAGGGCAGCCTGCCTGCTGAGTAAGCTAAAAGTGAACATAGATTGTCTTGCTACTCATAGAGAAACGCCTGACAACTGGCTTGAAACTTGTGAAAAAATATCAAGCCTTATGAAATATCTACTCTAAATGTCAATTTCCATAAATGACTCATCTTCCCATGGCAGTACCAAAGTGAAGTCGTCTAGCTAAATACTTCAGGCTTATTCCCAGCTGAATTTTTTTAGGGGAAGAGGCTTCGGTCTCGGCACTTTCTTGGTCATAGTTACAAGCTAAATTTTAAAAATATAAAGGAAGAGGAAACTGTAATGGCCTTGAAATATCAGGTATATAATGATCCTTGTACAAGTTACTTGAATACAAAAATGTAATTTAAAAAGGGATCTACTGGTCAGGGCAGTTATAAGTTCAACAGGCAAGTCCCAGAGGGCTAAATTTAATTATTTTAATAAAACATATAATGCCATGTTAAAAAATAAACATTGCTGCTCCCAAAGTCTTTTTAAGGTGAAAATTCTGGCTTAAACAAGCCCCAAACTTATACAATATATACACTCCCCCTCCTCAATCCTCACAAAATTGGTAATAGCACCTTATTTCAAAGTTCCGGTAAACTTAAAAGTTTTACTGCTTATACCATAAACTCATTAAGGCTGGAGTGAAACAGGAAACAAGTATCTGGTGCTGCCACCTAGAGGTAGAGATTTTGAATTTTAAAATGCGCAGAATAGAGCTGCTACATAACTCCATTTGTAATTATTGATACTCCAAAATTAAACATTTCTGTCAGTAATGACATTAAAGCAAAATCTTTATTATCAAACTTGCCCTACATGCAAATACTATGTATAATTAATATTAAACTACTCATCATCCAATGAGTAACCATATCAGCCTTCGAGCAAGACATGTAAGCCAGGCTTGGTGGCTCAGCCTGTAATCCCGCGCCTTTGGGAGGCTGAGGTGAGCGGATTGCCTGAACCCGCGGGTTCGAGACCCGCCTGGGCAGCGAGACCTCATCTCTACAATAAATCAAAAAACCAGCCGGGTGTGGTAGTACATGCCTGTAATTCCGGCTACTGGGAAAGCTGAGGCGGAAGGATCGCCAGAGCCCAGCAGGTCGAGGCTGTGGTGGCCGGGAGCAGCCACTGCACTCCAGTCTGGGCGACAGAGTGAGACTCCAACTCAAAAAAAAAAAAAAAAAGACATGAAAAACTGAATGGCAAATTCCTTACCTCTTCTACTGAGAGCTTTCTCTGAAAAACTGGTTTAAAGAAACAAACTTTATGCCCCATTTGACGAAAGGAACTACCATTTCTACTAGGTTAGCTTTGAATCATTTGTCAGGCACAGAATAAAGGAGGGAGCAGCCTGCTTGGGCTTTGCAAAATGCGTTATCTGGGGGAAGAGCAGCCGTGGTTTCCTCCACAAAAAAGCATAGATGATGTATGCTTTAATTCAATCCTCTGACTTGTAGGTGATCGAGTCATTTGTGCTGGGATTGGGGGTGGGGTGGGAGAGGCAGTGGAATTAAATTAAAATACTGTCATTTATAATTAGAAAATTTCTAGGATCTCACATTATTTTGGCAACAGGATCAAAGCTCTCATGTTTCAAGAGTATTTATAGAAAGTAACATCATAGGCATTGGGTTGGATGAGTTTAGCAGTACTGTTTTTACTTAAGATCACCATGGTCTGTCTTATCACACACACCCCAATGTGACGTTTAGCACAAAATTGTTTTTTTAACCACTGCACTTCCTAACTACTGTAAATTATACCTGTTTTCAGAATGCTCACCTGCCCATATTCCCAATGAGTATTTAAACTGTTCATAACTCAGGGTTAAGGCTAGAAGTTCAAAACAATCTGGACAACACAGTGAGATCTTGTCTCTACAAAACAATCTAAAAATTAGCCAGAGGTGGTGGCGCACACCTGTAGTCCCAGCACCTGGGGAGGCTGAGGTGGAAGGATCACCTGAGTCCAGGAGGTCAAGGCTGCAATGAGCTGTGATTATGCCACTGTACTCCAGCATGGATGATAGAGTGAGACTCTGACTCAAAATAAATAAATACAAATAAAAATATTATGCTAAGTAAAAGAAGTTACACACAAAAGGTACATACCATTTATATAAAATTCTAAAATAGGCAAAACTAACCTATGGTGATAGAAATCAGATGAGCAACTGCTTTTGTGAGGAGGATGTTGACTGGGAAAGGACATAAGGGAACATTCTGGGGTGATAAAAATGTTCTGTGTCTGTGTTTTGATAAACTGATTGTATAATACTCAAGATTTTAGCATTTCATGGCAGCTTATGTAAATTATACTTGACAAACAGGAGATGTCTGTACAGGCTGAACATCCCTAACCCGAAAATCTGAAATGCCCCCAAATTTGAAACTTTTTGAGTGCCAACATGATGCCGTAAGTGAAAAACTCTACATGTGACCTCATGTGATAAGTCATAATCAAAATTTTATTTCATGTACAAAATTTAAAGCATTGTATAAAATTACCTTCGGGCTATGTGCACAGGTGTATATAAAACATAAATAAATTTTGTGTTTATACTTGGGTCCCATTCCCAAGATATCTAATTATCTATATAAAAATATTACAAAATCCAAAGCACTTCTGGTCCCAAGCATTTCAGATGAGGGATACTCAGCCTGTAATATATATTACCAAAAGACTCATACTTAGAATATGTAAGAAATGCCTATAAATCAACAGGAAAAAGACAAACGAATTGAAAAGTAGAAAAAGACTTGAACAATAGGCACCTCACAAACAAAATATTAAAATGGCCATGAAGCATGTGCAAAGGTGTTCGACTTTATTAGTCTTCAAATAAATGTAAATTAAACTCACAACGTTATGCCACCATATAAAATAAAGAAGATGGAAAACAAGTGTTGGTAAGAACAGGGAACACT